GGTTTGGAGGGGTTTTGGGAGAAGCTTTGGGCACCTGGGGGCATCTGGGAGCATCTGGTGGGCACCTGGGGGCACCTGGGGCACCTGGGGGGCACCTGGGGGCACCTGGGGGCATCTGGTGGGCACCTGGGGGGCACCAGGGGGGGTTTGGGGGAAGCTTTGGGCACCTGGGTGGCACCCGGGGTGCTCCTGGAAATACCTTGGGGTAGCTGGGGGGCACCTGGGCACACCTGGGGTGTTCCTGAGGTCACCTGGCCGGTACCTGGTGGGTTCCTGGGCACACCTGGGCACACCTGGGGTCACCTGGGAACTCCTGGTGGGTTCCTGGGCACACCTGGGCACACCTGGTGGGTTCCTGGGCACACCTGGGCACACCTGGGAACACCTGGGCACACCTGGTGGGTTCCTGGGCACACCTGGGCACACTGGTGGGTTCCTGGGCACACCTGGGCACACCTGGTGGGTTCCTGGGCACACCTGGTGGGTTCCTGGGCACACCTGGGCACACCTGGGCACACTGGTGGGTTCCTGGGCACACCTGGCAGGTTCCTGGGCACACCTGGTGGGTTCCTGGGCACACCTGGCAGGTTCCTGGGCACACCTGGGCACACCTGGCGGGTGCTGAGGTGTCCCCCCGGGGTGTCCCCAGGCACAACGACAACAAAACGTTCCTGGTGTGGGTGAACGAGGAGGATCACCTGCGCGTCATCTCCATGGAGAAGGGCGGCAACATGAAGGAGGTGTTCCGGCGCTTCTGCGTCGGCCTCAAGAAGGTCGGGGACATTTTGGGGACATCTGGGGACATCTGGGGACATCTGGGACATTGGAGGATTTGGGGACATGATGGGATTTGGGGTCACATCTCCATGGAGAAGTGAGGGAACGTGAAGGAGGTGTTGGCCTCGAGAAGGTCGGGAGACACCTGGGGACACTTGGGGACATCTGGAGACATTTGGGGACATTTGGGGACATCTGGGACACGGAGGATTTGGGGACACGGAGGGATTTTGGGGACACTGAGGATTTGGGGACACGGAGGGATTTGGGGTCACATCTCCATGGAGAAGTGAGGGAACATGAAGGAGGTGTCGGCCTCGAGAAGGTCGGGAGACACCTGGGGACACTTGGGGACATCTGGAGACATTTCGGGACATCGGGGACACTGAGGATTTGGGGACACAGAGGGATTTTGGGGACACTGAGGATCTGGGGACATGGTGGGATTTGGGGTCACATCTCCATGGAGAAGTGAAGGAATGTGAAGGAGGTGTCGGCCTCGAGAAGGTCAGGGGACATTTTGGGGACATTTTGGGGACATCTGGGACACTGAGGATTTGGGGACATCTGGGGACATCGAGGTGACGCTTGAGGTGACACCAACAACCCTGAGCGCCCCGGGTGTGCCCTGGGCGTGTCCTCGCTGGCCCCAGGTGCCACCAGCTGTGTCCCCTCATGGTCCCCATCCTGTCCCCAGATCGAGGAGATCTTCAAGCAGGCCGGGCACCCGTTCATGTGGACGGAGCACCTGGGCTACATCCTGACGTGCCCGTCCAACCTGGGCACGGGGCTGCGCGGCGGCGTCCACGTGCGCCTGCAGCACCTCAGCCAGCACCCCAAGTTCGAGGAGATCCTCAAGCGCCTGCGCCTGCAGAAGCGCGGCACAGGTGGGACCCCAAAATCACCTGGGCTGGGCGGGGACACCCCCAAATCCACCTGAGGTAGGGCAGGGACACCCCCAAATTGAAATGGCAGCCCCAAGTTCACCTCAGCCAGCACCTCAAGTTGGAGATCCTCAAGCGCCTGCGCCTGCAGAAGCGTGGCACAGGTGGGACCCCAAAATCACCCCAAATTCACCTGAGGTAGGGTGGGGACACCCCAAATTCACCTGAGATACAGCAAGGACACCCCAAATCACCTCAGCCAGCACCCCAAGTTTGAGGAGATCCTCAAGCGCCTGCGCCTGCAGAAACGCGGCACAGGTGGGACCCCAAAATCACCCCAAAATCCACCTGAGGTAGGGCGGGGACACCCCAAAATCCACCTGAGGTAGGGCGGGGACACCCCAAGTTCACCTCAGCCAGCACCCCAAGTTCGAGGAGATCCTCAAGCACCTGCGCCTGCAGAAACGTGGCACAGGTGGGACCCCAAAATCACCCCAAATCCACCTGAGGTAGGGCAGGGACACCCCAAAATCCCCCAGGAAAGGGACACTGTGAGGGACCTGATGGACAGGAGTGGTCAAGAGTGGCCAGTGAGTGGTCAGTGAGTGGTCAGCGGTGTCCGTGGCTCACTGACCACCCCTCTGTCCGTGTGTCCGTGTGTCCGTGTGTCCAGACGGGGTGGACACAGTGGGACCATGGAGCCATCAGACACTGGATGGACAGGAGTGGTCAGTGGTGTCCATGGCTGTCCGTCCCTCACTGACCACCCCTCTGTCCGTCTGTCTGTGTGTCCGTGCGTCCAGGCGGGGTGGACACGGCCCCGGTGGGACCATTGAGCAGGGGATGGACAGGGGATGGACAGGGGATGGACAAGGGATGGTCAGGAGTGCTCAGGCGTGGTCAGTGGTGTCCATCCCTCACTGACCACCCCTCTGTCCGTGTGTCCGTGTGTCCAGGCGGGGTGGACACAGTGGGACCATGGAGCCATCAGACAGGGGATGGACAGGAGTGGTCAGTGGTGTCCAT